GGGTGGGGGTGGGGTGTGGGTCGGTGTGGATCTGAATTCTCTCTTCACGTACTCACCCCCACACCCACAAGGTGGTACATGGTGGTACCGGAATTCTAAAATTCTAGGTTTGTCCCAGGTATACATGCTGTTATATCGATACATGGACCCAATACAAGGTAGTACAAGGTAGTGAAGGTGGTACATGGTGATACAGAGGGACACAAGGTGATACATAGTTGACTGTGAACCGAGTGGTACAAGTTGTACTCGTACTTGCGCAGCCCTCATTACAGGTCTTAGCAATCAATAATAAAAGATGTTAGATTTTCTAGAGTTTTCTTTTTGGAAAATTGATCAAGTTATAATTTTGAAAAATAATGAATATCGTTGTTTGTGACTTGATTAATATATATGATAGTGTGTAAGATCTGCTGCAGATATGATAGATATGTAACACACTTATTTGCCAATCAATTCAATGATTATAATAATAAGAATGAAAAATTAAGAAAAACGAATTAAAATAAAAATAAATAATGAGCGAATAGCAACAATGCAAACAAAAAATAGGGCGCCCATAGAAAAAAGTTTTAAAAAAATTCTGTTCGAAATACAGAAATTAGATAGGTTCTTATTCTTGTGATTAATTTTCCTGTAAAACAACTATAGTATAAGAGAGATTTTTCAGTTTACGTATTTTGTATTAGTTGAATGAGGCTAGAGCATATGTGAGTTCCACATTTCAGCTCCAAAGAGACTGCGCTAACAAGCTTTTTTTTAAATGAATTATTTTAAAACATCTGACAATATATTGTAAATTTATAACAAGCAGAGTTTGTGAGTTCCACAGTTTGGCCCCTCGAGGGGACGCATTGACAAGTTTTTTCATTTAGAATTTTGTCTTAGTTGGAACTATACAGCATGATCTAAACGTATTAAACTATAACACTGCGAACGGCAGAAATTTATTGTAAAAAGTGTTTAGATATTCTCTCGTGAGCATCATAAAGAGAAAATCTACTGAACGATTCATACAAAAAGAAACTTTTGATCAACATACCGTGAATACATCCTAGGAAGTACAAAAATAGACGCAAACAAAAAACCTTAAAATTTTGAATTTATCATGAGACAAAATACATTTATTGGCATGAAATTTTAGTTTTCGTTCTTTTACTTTTCAAAACATAGAAAAAGGATGCTTTTTGATTATACTGCTGCTCCTTTTCTTGTGATATTTTCATTTTTCATCGCTTTTATCCCATTTTGATAGATCACGGTCTCAATTTTTGAGTACTGTATTTTATTGATTTAAACAAGGTTTTTATTCCGATATCAAATATATTCACTATTTCGAGTGTAATGATGAATATATTATTTTTCCATGGTATGTCGACAATTTTTCCTTGAAATTTATTCGTTGCACGGTGAAAAGCTATGATATAGAGTTGCTAAATTTGCAAGTTTAGAAATATTAAGTGAGCGATGTTCATTCTTCTGATATTTTTATTTGTCTTTCATCGAAACCTGTTTCATCTTATTTTTTTGACATAGCCAGAATTTGAGGGTGGGTGGTGAGGATAAGTCTTAACCCTCACTCATCCACCCATTCTCCTACCCACCCTCACTCACTCATTCACTCTCACCCTACCCAACCTCATCCTCACAGTCGCTCACCCACCCTCAAGTAGCGAACTATTGGTACCTTAGTGCGTTCGTTGGTTCATCGGAAATAGAGATTACTGTCTATGAATATTGGTAAGTAAATTTAACTCGTGATGCTTTTGCTGCGAAGTATCTCGACGGATGGAATCGAACGAAAGATGTCACTAATATCAGTCGACTCATGGATGGAATTATTTGCTCAGCTCACCCATTACCAGCTAATTCCAACGAATTTCAAACAAGTATTGGTTATACCATTATTGCTTGTTTATTTCAATTAAGTTCAGTTGTTCTTCCGGTAACACAAGCCGATCCAAAGCTGAATCACGTTACTGATATCTCCCGAAATACATCTATAGCAAGTGATTTTAATCGAGCGACGAAAGAAATCTATCAAAATCCCAATATTTTTCAAACTTATTTTACTGATTTATAAGTTATCTGTCGATGATTAGAAGAAGGAAAAGCTATTGGAATGGCGATGGTCTTCGGAAAAGCTTCGAAATCATATCAATAACATTCATTTTCGAAGAATTATATTTGATTTTTGATTAAGACTTGGGAACAGTATTATAAACGATATTAACATCATAACGAGTGACTCTTGTTGGACCTTGAAATTTCAATATGATTTGATAATTTGAATCCGAATGTTGTATCAAGATTTTATCGCTTTTTGTTACATCAGTTTCGTGATGATTAATAATTCGATAAATATGTGGTGTAGCTGACATCAATTTTTCATTATCAAAATAAATTGTATTAGCTCGATGCAATTGTGTAAATGCTGTTTCGATACGGTTCGACGTACATTGACTGTATTCCGTATTGCTCAAATTGACTAGACTGAAATAACAATCACCAGAAAGATTAATTATTACTTGACATGTATCGATCTTATTAACATGGGTTTCACAAGGATCAATCCTGCCGTAATTGATAATTGTCATGCTGTAAACAAATAAAAGAACAATAAATCCAGATGAGAATAACATTGAAGAGTGACAAGTTGAATCTTGATTGAAAGAAATATTTATAGTGAATGATGACGATGAAGGGAAAAAATACAGGTGACTAAATCCTTTTGTATATTGATCGAATGACAATGATAATTGCTTTGTCAGGGATGACACTCGAAAATATGGTTCAACTACTTCTAAAACCCACTCTCAGCAATAGATTGTCTTTGATCATCATTTGAGAGCAAACGCTGGTTCTCAAAAAAGAAATGTCAAATGGAATACATTAATCTTTGATTGATTCATTCAAACACAAGAATCAAATCTCTAAATTTTTATTCTTCCATTGTAAATATATCGATGATTCTACGGGGACAGATTAACATTAGAGAGAATGTTTGTGTCTCTTTTTGAATCGGAATCCTTCTACACCATGTTATTCGACTCATCATTCAAATCGAATTGCAATATATAAAAACCTAATATTTCTTCTAAATTTAGCAACTCTATATCATAGCTTTTCACCGTGCAACGAATAAATTTCAAGGAAAAATTGATCAACATACCGTGAATACATCCTAT